TTTTGGCTACCACTGTTACCAACTTTAAGTGTAAGCTTGGTACATGTTGGTTGGCAGTACTCTCACATCTGAGGCGATGAAGGCGCCGGGGTACACTTGGGCGTAACTGCGTCTCTTCCCCTTCTTCTCTGTCCACTTGTTTGTTATGTTTCTTTTTTTTAATCCATTATCAGCCGTACGCGCTTTTCTTAGACCTCCTGCTCTTATAGCCAAGCAATTTGTCTTGTCACACAAGAACCCGAAAAGAATCACGTGGGCACTAAATTTTGTTTAAATCCTGTCTACTATTTTAAGCATACCACGATTCTTGAAGGTAGTTTCAGTGTCATTTCCATCTATCATTCAAACCTCCGATACCCTGCAGTTGCATGTTCTACACTGCAATCTGATACATTGTAGTAATATTGAAGAGAAGTCCTCTGAGTTCGCTGTTGCAGGAGAATGGACTTCAACGAGCCACTTCCGTGAAGTTCCATGAACCCCACTGAACTAGACTGAACATAGACCAGCATAGTGGGTCATTATAGTTGGTTTCTGCTGGGTGTCGCTTTTCCTGTTGCCATCCCGTAAACACCAGTTGTTGTATGTTATCCTGAGTAGCGTTATACTAGTGCATCTGCGGTTTTATCTCTGGTGGTTTTTATTATTGTTCATTATTCATTAACAGAAGGCAAGAGTTGCCAATTACGTGCGCCTCTCCACTGAGCGTCTCGATACCGGAATAAACAAAATGTTAATTATCCTCTTTCTTCAAGCGCGCTACCAGATGTAAATCTAGTGGCCGCTTAAAAACTACAACATTGGATGCTAGCATCACCTGCGCTGCTACTCGATTTACTATAGGTGAGCTGACAGCCTGATGAGCAAATGGTTGTGTGGTACTGTGTCGAAAGCCTTGCTGAAATCGAGAAACACCACTTCCAGAATCTTACCACTAGCTCTTGTTTCCACCCATTACTCTCTGTCAAACATTAGGCTTAGCAAGCGAGATCGTCCCCTCCGGAATCCGTGCTATCTCTTGCTGAGGGTTGAGAGTTGCTTCAGAGGCTCCTGAAGACGACGGGTTATCAGCCGCTCCATCACTTTGCCAAGCACGCAGGTTGAACATACTAGTTGACAGCTCCCGATCGTCCTCCTTCCTTGTACATAGGCGTAACTACTGCTGGTTTCCACTCCGTTGGCAGTTTGCCCTCATTCAGAAACCTCTGATACAGGTCCGTCAGTGGCACAGATAATTTCACCGCCACGTGGATGTTTTCCGGGCTGGGAGATTTATTGACATCAATCAATCTTAGCTCGCGTTTCACCTTATCAGCGCTAAATTGTATTTCGACGAGACATCATCCACTATCGTCCGGCAATCTAGACTGCACGTTATCCTGGGAGTAGACCGGAGCGTTATGTCGGGCCACTAACTGAACCTTTTCCAAGTCCTCAGCAACCTCATTTTTATGTTGATCCATCAGTGCCGGGATTTCCACCATGATTCTGGTCCGTCGACGGATGTACGCCCACAACCTCTTGATTTCTCTTGTCAATTCCGCCGTCAGCCTTTCTTCGCACTGTTGACGTTTTATTACCTTCATGGTATTACATTCATTCCATGTTTTTTAGTGGGCATCGTAGTAACCATGAGCAGCACGGTAGCTCATCCACTACCAGTGTTTGTGCCTGAGGATGGCACGCAATTTTTTATCGAACCACGGCGGCCCTTCAGACGGGGGACGACTGCGAGACATCGGCGCGAGCCTTTTCACGACAGCCGGCAGGTTGTCTCTAACTTTGCACCCGCAGGCATCAGCCGTGATCATAATGTCGCCCCAGTCGTAGGTGCGCATGGCCTGCCTCATCTATTCGAATGCAATTTACCAAATATTTCATCGAACCTGGGTGAGTTTCGTCTACAGTTCGCCTCTCGCCCACCACATGACCAGTAGTGCATAATCACCCCTCCCTACTGGAGGCAAAATCTACGCGATTGACTTCGGACTCTAGTGCGGAGACCACTTAATCCATCTCGAAGCGGCATCCGGCCCACAACAGCGTAGGAGTTCCCACGTGCTGGTGCAATCACAGCTCGTTAAAGACCAGTCGAAACAGTGTCTCTAGAAAACAATCTGAACGACTAGTGCATGGTAGTGTTCTCTAGCTGATGTTAGGTGCGTTGGAGTTTTCCAATATTGAACAGTGTTTAGTTGCCCCAAAATTTCTTAGACCGTCTAACAGCTGA